CTGTCCGGTTGTGTGTTCCGCACGTTCAACCAGCAAACGCGGGTCCTGCAGCACTGTGTTAAGCGGGAAGCAACTGAAAGGCAGACAAAAAATGCACTGCAGCCCGCGAACAAAAATAAATATTTGTTCTGGATCTTACCTCAACTCTAATGGCGTGTACTGGCGATAATTCGTGCAATACTGGCCGGGCACCACAGCTACGGGGTAATTGGCGTCCGATTCCCGGGATGTGGTAGTGACGCGCGGTCGCAGCAAGGTTGGTGGTTCAGGTATTTGCTCGGCTTTGGCAGCCTCTGCCACTGCCTCTGCTACAGGCCGATATACCAGTGTGGCGGTGGGCGCTGTCGCGGGCAATGGCACGTTCACTGTTAATGTTTGCAAGTCCAGACAAGCTAGACGTTCCTCCTTGCGACTGAAAGGAAATTTATGCCGGTATTTTAAAGGGTTGCTCTTCGAATATTTTTTTTCTAATTCTTACCTTCTATTGAAGTAAGAGTTCCATTTGCTCGTCGAGAGGAGCGCACGTTCGCGCACTTGCAGTCCACGTCCAGACACATTAAGCCCCAAGGCTTTCTGTTTCGCCTCGATTTCGCGCAGGTGCTTTTGACGTATGAAATCCTTGTACTCCTCGTACTTCTCATAGAAATCGGTATACATAATGTCCAGAATGTCGGATGCCCAAACGGCCGTAATGCCCAAATCGCACATACGTTCCGAAACAAGGCCCTTCTCCTGCAGCCAATTACGCTCTTCCATATCGATTTGCCGACGTGGCAGATCGGGATACTTTCTCTTGAAGCTCTTTATACCTAAATACAAAGCGACCTGTTCTTGAATCATGAAAGTATCGCGATTTTTCGATGGGCAACACCCCTTTGGAGGCGGCCAATCATATTCGGCAATTGCTGAGACAGTAATTTCAGCGCTGGAATTTTTTTTAAATCACTTTAAAAATCTGCATATCAGTAGGAAAGTTTGTAAACTTACTCTTCGGCAACGCAAACTTCCATTTTCTTCTTCTTTGGGCGTTTAATAGCGCTGCCATTTTGGACTGCAGCCACCGTGTTGGGATCTAAAATGCTATTCGTGCTCAACACTGAGGACTGGGACTCGTCATTGTTAAGAAAATCGGGTTGCCTATCAATGTGAAGCAATCCCAAATAAAAAACAATTTCAAAAATAGTATTCGATAAGTGCACGCTTACCTCAAAGGAGTTTGGGGCTCCGGCTGCAGCTGTATTTGGGTCTGATTCAAGTCGGCGCTCATGCGAGTATCCTCTTCAAAGACTTGTGGGGACTGTTTGAAGGGGAAAGTATTGCAAAGTAGAGCTTTTATCAATTAAAATGGTAAAAATGTAAAAAGCAGTATTAAAAAAGCCTTGAATCATTAAAAGCGCATATAATTTCTTAATTTGTACACGCACCATCGCATGCACCTCCTCCACCGCTTGGAAAATAGCATTTAAAGCACAGAAGCGCAGGTGGTTGCGTTTGTTGCATAAGTAATTAATTAACTGAAAATGTAGTTTAGATTTGGCAACAGCAACTACTTTACTACGCTGGAGTTCGTCACCTCTGCTGCCTGTTACGGCAGACAAAAACGAAAGCACACAACGAAGCTGCAACACCCATGAAAGAAGCACACGTAGAAGTGCTTATCCTATTATCTCTTCTAAAATTCATAGTCTCTGTGATAAGCTGAGGGCACAGTAGACCTTTTGGTCACTGTGCTTACCTTATTCATATCTATCTCTAACACCCATGAGGGGCTGGCTCAATTTCACCTCCCTCATTTGGGTACACAGCGCAGGAGAAATTTTTGTAGCTGGGGAAAGCCACTAATTGCAGATTCCCCACGGCGAAAAATCATATCCATTATACTATGGTGACGGGGTGGTGAGTTCGGACAATATACATACAACGCTATGAAGAAAAACGGAGCACAAAGAGAAACACAATAAAGCCACCACTTCGCATCGCACACCGAACATTTTCTCATATTCAATGTTTAAGAACTGGTATGCGTCGATGGTGACGTATGTCGTGCTGTCGGAACGAGTAATTCGACGAGCAGATACGATGCGTGCACAAAGATTGTGTGTATATACTACATACATATGTATGTGTATTTTTTCATGGTTTGCTTCACATAAGTGATAATGCAAAAGTGAATTTACGAAGCAGTAAACCAGAATTGTGATAGCAAAAAAAAAAAGAAAGCCAAAGAAAGCAAGAATGCCAATAAACAAAAAAAAAAATACAAATATCGCGAGTTGATATAAACGTGGTAAAAATAATATAACTGTAAATACATATAATCAGAGCCATTGCGTGGAGCGCCGGCACTTGTGCGTTCATTGAGCGGGATTTAGATAATTAAAACTGCTATCAATATACTTGTACATATACAGCATTTAAAATAGTATAGTAAAATGGGCTACATACCGGACTAAAAAGGCCTTTCATTCGATCTGGATCGGGTGTATGCTTCAGACCGCCAACGCAGCGTGGTCTGCTCAGTGCGATTTGCTTGGCGACCGCGCTGGCGCCACGTCCCAAACGATGCGCCCGACTACCACGTGCGCTGCTACGAACAGAACCGCGCCCACGACCACGACCGCCGCGTCCACGACCCACGGGAGTCCCCATCGGACTTGTGGAGTCATCTGAAAATAGAAAAAAATATATAGATTTACATATTATCGTTTAAAGTACAAAACCACGTATCAACAAAATGCAAAACCGTGTGTAATTTCACATAAATTATTTTCTAGACAGTAAAAACACTCATATTTCAAGATGGTTCTCTTTTTTATAAAGCAATCGCGCATTTCTGGCTAGTATATTTCAGGACGAATGGATAAGGATTGAGCCAAAAGCTTGTGTGAGCAAATTCAATTTTTGTCAAAAAATGTCAGTTACGCGGTTTTGCAGAACGACGATACCCGGTTTTGTACTTTAAACGACGATATGTATAGTATGTACATACTATATCGCGAGCTTCAATGCCAATTCCATTTTTTTTTTTTTTACTTTTTGAGTCTAAATCACTGCCCCCAGGTCATGCACCATTTCGGCATTTATTTTTACTTACCTCCTGATAAATCTGCTCCGCTGCCGTCCCCGCCACCACTCTGACTTGTAGTTTCATCATCGCGCCCATCAAACTTGGCGCTGTTTAGCGTTACCTGCATCCGCAACAGATCCGTTTCAATACTCAGTCCTGCGGTGTGCGCTGCGCGCAGCTGCTGTGTTGCCATAAGCGATGAGAAATCATTGGGTCTAAAGACCACATCCGGCACCGGGTCCGAGGAGGACAGTATAGTGGCTGGTGGCAACATCGAGCTGCTGCTTTGATTTTGTACTGCGGCGTTGATTGCGCAAGTGCTAGTGGTAGTGCTTGCACCCGCTATGGTCATGGTGGCAGTGGTGCTGCCATTGCTCGCTGAGGACGACGACGAGCACATTGTCAAGTCGATTTGTGTTGCCAAGGAAATGGACGCAGATGTGCTAGTACCGGTACCAAGTTGAGCTCCAGCAGCTGTGGTCACAGTGGCGGAGCTCATGGAGCTGCTAGAGTAGGCCGACGAGAGACTGGAATTTGAGCCACCATAGTGATTAAGGACGGAGGTCACACCAACATCCGATATCGAATTTGCGGCATTGTTGTTTACAGCACCAGTACTGCCTCCGCCACTTAAGATGTTCGCTGAGCGTTTGCGATTCTTCAGAGCAACCTCGCCGTTGTTGGCACCAATAGGCTTGACTTTCGTTACCGGCGTGATTGCACCACCCGGCAAGATACTGCGGCGAGAACTTCGCGCCCCTGTGCGTAAAGCACGGTCGCTGGTCGAGGTCTCACTCTCATTCGCCACATCTGCACTCTCCAGCTCATCGGATGGCTGCTCCGCGTCCACCATGTCGATGGCCAGACGTTTGCGTAACAGCTCAACACGGCGCGCTTTCGAAACAATCTCCGTGGGCGCTGCGTCTGCGCTAGCAACGCTAGGCTCGTTGAGTGTTGCTGCAGGCAGTGCTGGCGCAGCGTTGGGTGTCGCCGCAGCAGTAGTGTTCTTTTTCGGGCGACCGCGACGTCTGACGATAGGCGGGTTCGCCGGCAACTGGTCAGAGTGCGTTACAACCGCTTTTGCTGCTGCTGTAGCGAGTTCATTCGATGGGGGGCGATTTTCGGCGACGACGTTATTCAAATCGAACTGGATTGGATCCTCTTCGTCCAGGGGTATGGCCAGCAAGTGCTCGTGACGCTGTTTGCGCGGACGATGTATGGAGGCCTTTGGCGAAGAGAGGTCCATTGTTATGGGTGCGTTCTGCGATTGCACAACGTCGTTAGTTATATCCACAACATGGTGATTGCCACCAAAAATGGTGGGTGACGTAGTTATCAATTTGGTGTTAGACGACTCATCGTCTGTCAGAATGGTCAAAGTGGCCATAGTGTGCGATTCGCTGTCAATGCGGCGTACTTTGTTTGGTGTAATCTGTAGAAGGGGCAAAAGTATGTGACAAATACGGTAAATTTTAAGATTTTGAAAAATAGTTTTTTTTTTTTATAAATTCAGCAATAAACTATGTATTGGCCAAATATTTAATACCGTTAACAGAGTTAACATGAAAACGATAAATTTAATTTAATCCAAATATTTGTTTTGATTTTGTTCTCCAGAATCGCTCGCTGGTTCAAAAAACAAGTTAATTTTTTTATGGATACTTTTTCGAGATATTCGCAATTTACCGTTATTCAGCTTAAAAAAAGTGTGGTTCCACTTAATCACGTATATCTTACGAGCGAATTTAATAATAGTAATACGAGATAAAGCAAATGAAAGCAATGAAATTTTTCATAAACTGTTTATACACATCACTTTTCGATAGCCCTAACAGTTTCTGGGAAATTAATTAATCATTCTAGATTTTTTGTTTTTTGTCTTTTTTTATGAAAAAATTCCAACTTTAACAGGGAAAAAATTAAAAAATGTGTAATGTTTTGCAAAAATTAAGCTACTAATGAATAAAATCAATGTATAAATAAAAAAATAATGATTGGTCCAATCAAAATGCGCAAGTATTTTTTGTAAGAAATATAAGCAGAAAAAAGTGTTACTCATACGCCACGTACACCTGAGTAGGTAGTGTTTGCATCGAAAACAAGAGGTGTGTGTCAGAAATGATTAATTAATTTCTCAGAAATCAGGGCTATCGAAAAGTGACGTATATACGGTTTATGGAGAATTTTATTTTCTTTCATTTTCCGTATCTCGTAATAAGGTTATTTAATTGGTTCGTAAGATATACGTGAAGTGAAACCACTATCTTTTAAGGTGACTAACGGTAAATTGCAAATATCTCGAAAAAATATCCATAGAAAAAAAAATTATCTCGATTTTCGGAATCGCCGAGCAATTCTACATAAGAATTGGTTAGTGGCATCCATAGAAAATTTTTGCTGTAAACTAGTGTTATTTATCGATATACATATTATTCGATAGTTATCGTAAACGTGTCCATAATATTTTATATCGTTACTATTGTCGATATGAATTAGTCGGTGATAATCAGGGCTACAAACCGTTCTAAAAATCGAAGCGGTTCGGTTCAGTGGTTCGAAAAACGTGTACCGGTACAAGAAGCGGTTCATGAGTATCTCTGAACCATGGCGGAATTATACCAGATGAAGTAATTAGAGCGAGAAGAAAGATGTTGACACTGTCGCCTCATTTGAAAAATTGCCTTTAATTAATTTGACTATAAGGCAGAGGATGAGCAATGAGCGGCGAGTCTAGTCGAGTAGACAAAAATTGCGTATTTAGAGTTTCGAATTGACGCTCAAAATCTTGCCTTAGGGTTGAAAATCTTATTTGGAAATTATATATATATATATAATTTTTTTTTAATAATTTTCATTTAAAATAATTAATAATAATTAATAAATAATAATAATTCAATCTGTAACAGAAACTACAATAATACAAGTTTCAAAGCGTGTAAAATTTGCAGTAGAAATTAATCAAACTTCAAAAAATTGTCATCAAAATTTCCAAATATCGTTCGCAGCTAACAGGCTACATTCAATTGTAGTCTAAGAAAGTGCAAGTCTCAAGTCGTTAAAAATTACCTTTGATCTTTTAGAATTTTTTTGTTGAGGGTGTTGTGGATTTTTTTCATATAAAAAAAAAATTTGATCATGTGTTATATAAAAGAAAATGCGCAACAACCCCCGGCAAAAAAAGAAGTTCTAGAAAATCAACGGTAATTTTTAATTTTATTTTTTTTTGAAGTTTGATTAATTTTTTTTGCAATTTTTGCAAGCTTCGAAACTTTAGTTAATGTGGTTTCTGTTACAGATTGAATTGTTTTTTAAATGAAAACAAAATTTCGATCAGTCGTACCTAAACCTTGCAAAGTTTTTGCTCTAATTTGAGAGAGAATCGTTCGTTACTTTTCTGCAAGTGTCCACTGGATATTTTTCACTGGAGATCTATTAGAACCAGGGACCGAGAACAAAAGGTACGATCGAAACTAAATGTCGTTCTTGTAGTTTTTTTTTTTTTAACCCAACACGCAGACGCACAGTGGTTCGAATAGCAGATTTAGCAGACGAAAGTCAAAATTTTCATTTGTTTTTAAATTACTTTATGATGCTTGGAATACATTCCAGACAATATATTTAAATATAAATTGCATTTATTATATAAAGCAATTTATGTCCACATTGGTATACGTAAATTTATACTGAAAATTCGTCGTTTTGATTAGTTAAAAAAAAAAAATAAATAAATTAAAGAGTAGCAAAAGTAAAGGCCGCTGAAGGCCGTTATGAAACTACTTGCATATTATTCTTTGCACTTTCATAAATGTAGAGGTTACGTTTTCATACCATGTCTAACAATTTAGACTAGATATTTTCACTTTAGTGATGACATGTCAAATCTCAAAATTAATATCAAGTATGTTCGATGAATTCTTTATATGGAGAAAAAATATGCCAAAAATCAACGGAGAAGGCCCTAGCTACTTAAAAATTTCACTTTGTGTTTCTAAAATTGAATACCCCATTCCGCAAAATCGTTCTATGGCGCATTTTTTTGAATGTCTGTTAAAGATAACTGGTACTTTGACTGCCTGTTAAATTTGTCGCTCACATGCTTGTAATAGCACAGTTATGCATACTTTACATTGCTATACCATTTTTACGTAAAAATCAAAACCCAAACAGTCTTCTAGTTCAGTTAAGGCCCGTTTACATACAACTTTGGCGTTGCGTTGGCGTTGGCGTCGCTTCGACAGCTGACTATGAATACATGCATTTACATGAAAGTCTCCACACAACCAAAGTTGGCAACGCCAACGCCAACACGACGCAGAAAGATGGCCCGCTCTCAACTTTTCGCTCGCGTCGTTCGTCAGCTGTTCCAAATAATCAAAATTATGTGATTTTATTTTCCTTTTTAATCAAATGCGGGCAAGAAATACAGTTTTTAATGCAATTATTGATATAAAATTTTGATTTATCTACCGCTAGTATGCTAATTTAGTGACCAAAGTATTCTCTGTTAAGCGTTCATTGTAGCAAGCTCGGGCGTTACTCGCGCTGCTGTCAAAGCGACGCCAGCGCCAACGGAACGCCATAGTACATAGTGTGCATGAGAGTTGTCACATAAGGAGCATAGCACTTCACATGTATGCAATCGATAAAAAGTCGATAAAGCAAACTGGCTGTCAATTTTTAACAGGCAGTCGAGAAAGCGGCTATAAGAAGTCTAATTAAAAACATCGAATTTTTTAAGAAACTTCGTTGTTTTTTTTTAAATATTGCACAAGCTTTGGAACTTGGATTAATACGGTTTTTGTTAAAGAACAAACTATGTTTTTTTATAAAAATATAATTTAAATCAAATACTAATAAAATAAATAGTCAAAACTTGTCAATACGTGAGTGGTGCATAATTATGATATTTATTAGAGAATTATCTGTTATTTTCAATTATTTAAAAAAAAAACTTTAGTGATTGTTACTATGAGTTGGAAATAAAATAAATAATAAATAAATTCCCCATATAGCCAATTTCATAGAAATCTAAAAATATTTTTAATTTTTCATTCACAAATGGATCTGCAATTTTGAATTTTTGGTGAATGACTTTATATTCGTAATCAGCGAACCAGAAACTTCTTTAAAATTTTCCTCCGCCATATTGGATCCGCTAATTTGAATTTTTGGTAAGTGACTTCAGATTCGTAATCAGCGTTCCAAAAATCCCCTACATAAGAATTGGTGTAAAAATCCATCAGAGTATTTGTTCAAATAGTTCCGTGCAGCTAGATTTGCGATCAGAACGACTGTGAGACAACCTCCTCATTCTTAACGTTGAAGTTATCAAAACGTTTGCCCTCGTTTTGTTCTCTAGCTTAACATTCCTCTTTGAAAACGTTCTCGATAATTTCGTTCTCATTGAAAACGTTCCCGAAAGTTTCGCTCTCATTCTGTTTTTCTTGAGAACGTTCCCGAACCTTTTGTTCTCATTTTGTTCCCGTTCAAACTGCTCTCAATACTTTTGTTCTCGTTTAAATAGTTCTTTTGTGGGAACATTCTTGACATTAAATTTGTTCTCATGCAGGACTAAACCAAAATAGGAACGCGTTCTCCGTCCCTGTATAGAAGAGACTAAATAACCGAACACTTAGACCCAACCAAGATTGATAGATGGGTTGTTTTATAAATGTAAAAAAAACGAACAAATGCAAAAACAATTCAGGGAACAAGCAACTGTTGGGCATATTTAAATAAAGTTGATCTGAAACCCAACGAAATCTAAATGGCATTTAAATAAGAATCCAAAATTAAACTTAAATTCCCTTTAAATATTCATCTGAAATTGGCCCTTAAGTAATTGTTGTGGATATTGATACCAGTTTACATATCGACATCTATAACGCCGAAGGAGTTTACATTTTAATCATATTTCCCAAATGGGTGTGTTCTTCCCCTAGTACTCACCTCGATACACTGCTCTGCCACATCGTTCTCCCTCATCAGGGCCGACATGGCGTCCGCTTGCCTTTTCAAATTCGCTTGATTTGTTCTCTCCGCTGACGCAGTTGCATCGTCCATAACATTGTTGTTGCGCCTCAACACATCCGCGCTGTTTTCTTCATAGGCAGCGTTTCTTCTAATGGCGGCATCATTCAAACCATCTTCGTTGTTTATGTGCAGATTTTTGGGCAACGCAGCGGTATCGTCCAACGTCAAACGCGGACTGCCCTCGGGTGTGTCCAGTATCTCAATGGAATCGATCACCTTCTCCGGCTGAGCTGCCTGCTGATTTGCCATATTGTAGCTAGCGGATCCGCTGTTCATTGCCATGGCCAAACTGCCGGAGCACGTTATGGTCGAGTTTTGCCGAATACGCGCGCCGTTGGCCATCAGGCGTTCCGTCAATTGCGGATATTTGATGCTATTGCTTATTTGCTGTTGCAGCTGCTGCCTTTGTTGCTGTTGTTGTGGTTGTGACTGTTGGAGCGCGTGCTGCTGGTGATGATGTTGCTGCTGCGACTGCAGTGGCTTCGGTTGCAGAGGCGGTGGCACGCCGTACTTTGTTACATTTAGCGGTGCATTCAGTTGATTGAGCAGGAAACTGTTGGTGTTTTCCATCGGCGGCGCTGTCTGTATGACGCTCATTTCTCGCTGCAGCCGCTCCATGAGTATGGTGGGATGCGGCGGTTGTTGTGCATCGCTTATTTGGGGGTCCGCATCGGTGTAGGTGAAGTGCGCAGGCGACGAGCCGGGCGATGGGGAGGATGTTAGGTCGACGGTGTCCACCACATTTGACAGATCGTCTGCGGGTAGCGGTGGTTGCATCAGTTGCGAATCTTCAGTGTTTTCATTGCGCAGCGAGTCACCGTTGCTGACGTGGAACACGTTGTTGAACACTTGTGGGTCGTGCTGCTGCAGCCCTTCATCGATGTCCATGTCGTCGGAGTTGCGACGCGGCTCCTCGATGTCCTCCTCCTCAGCAAACATCGCGCTGTCATTGAAGCCGCAGAACTCTTGGCTGCTGCTCGACTCGCAACCGTTCACCATATGCTCGCGTGCACTACACTCAGCAGTTTGCTGTGGATCCAGCGTCCTTTGCGGCACGCCGCACGCGGCGCTTGTGTCGGTGCCGCCTTTTGGGTCGCTGGATTTTCCACACTTTTTTGAAGCATTGCGCGTTTTGTCCTCCAGAACCGCTTTCATTTTCAACGTTGGCGACGAAAGATTTTTTATGGTGAGCTTGGGCACCACTTTGTTGGCAGCTGCCTCCTCCGCTGCCGATAGAGGTGGCGACGATTCGCCGCTCAAGCCCTCATCACTCTCCTCCGAGGATTGCTGCCCTACGTTTGGTATCGATTTGATGGTCAGTTTGGGTATTTTCTCCATGCACTCGCTGCCGCCACCATCCTGACAGTTGGTCTTGATCGTCAACTTGGGAACGACTTTCTCCACTGCCGTGTCGCAGTTGTTACCCTTCGCATCCTGGCGCGAGATCATCAGCTTGGGCAGTCTTTCTGGCGACTCTTTGCGTGTGCTGCTCGACAACTGCCGCACCACTAGCGGCGATTGCTTGGGCGACTGTGGCGCTGCACTCCCCTCCAGATTAGCCATGGAGATAGTCAGTTTCGGGATGACGTGTGCGTGCTCCGACTCTGTTGGCTGCTGCAATGCTTTGATGCAAAACTTCGGCGAAGTGATCTCGGCGGCAACTTCGTGCGTCTTAATTGTTATCTTGGGTATCTTCTCGGGTGGCGGTGCTGGGTCCTCACTCAAGTCGCTTAGCGACTCCTCTGCATCCAACGACTTAGTTTTGATCGTCAACTTTGGTATGACCTGTGCGTTGGAGTCGTCATTGTGCTGCGTTATGATGACCGCGTGCTCCTGCCCGGTTTTGATGGTAAGTTTGGGTATCTTGCTGCTGCTGCCAGCAACGTTGCCGCCATCATGGGCTTCGCCGTGATCCTCAGCTGCAGCTGCTGTCGTTGACGTGCTTACACAGGCGCCAGTTGCATTGGTTTTTATAGTCAACTTCGGCACCAGCTCCTCGTGCTTTGGCAGCAACGTTTTTATCGTCAGTTTAGGCACAGAACAGGCGTTGTTGGTGACATTTGAAACCGTACACGAGGCGGTGGCCGAGATGGAAGACATCGACGGTACTCCTGCAGACGAGGATGTGCTCGATGACGACGAAGAGGACGAGGCTGGCGATATCGTGGACATGATCGACTCGCTGGTGCCATCCAACGACGTTTTTATGGTGAGTTTCGGTAGTGGGGGAGGCGAGTGTTCACTGTGTGATTTTGTCGATGCTGCGCTGCTCGCCGACGATGCGGACGGACCCGATTGTGTGCTGCTACTGTGCGAAGCGGCTTGCGAATCGGACATTTTGATGGTGAGCTTCGGTACAATGGAACTATCCGAGCTGTCATTGGCCGATCTTATCGTCAATTTGGGTAGAATGTGTGGCTCGTCACTGCCACCGACTACTGCCGACGCCTTGATGGTCAGCTTCGGTATTTGTGCGCCGCTGCGTGTGGTGCGCGACTCGGCGACCGCATCATCTTCGGCAGAGGAAGAGCAATCCGAGGACGCGACGTCGTTCGCCTTCTTCATTATGGGCTTAATTGTGATTTTCGGAACAATGTTCGGGCTATTGTGCGTGTGCAAATTGATTTTAAGTGGCTCCACTTTGCGGATCGACTCGGTACCGCTGTGGCTTGCGGCGCCTTCCTCCCCGGACATCGATTCTGTATTGCTCTGAGATTCAAGGGAGCGCGCATTAACGCTCGTCACGTTCGGCTTGGGTAACTTCAAGATGATCTTGTGGGATTCGGTGGTTTGCTCGGCTGGCACCGCTTGTCCTTGTCCGCCTCCGGCACCTATTGACACTGCGTGCCCAGCGATAGCCTCACCACTTGAGGCTACAGTCACTGCTGTCTGCTCGCGCGCAACCATATCTGCGCTACCTGCGTTGTCGTCGCGGCCGTTCGTGTGCTCCAAACCGCCGTTGCTTAAGATACTAATACTACTTTTGTTGCTGTTGCTAGCCCTTAATTCCGCCTCTACGCTCCTAACGCCTGCTGTACGTGTCGCCGCTGCAGCAGAAGTGGTCGGCATAACCGAATCTAGACCGTGGGTAGCGCGGTCCACGCCGCTAGGTTTTAAAATTTTTCGGCCACTGAAGGATGATTGTGTCGATTGGTGTGGCGATTGTGATTCATCCTCACTGGAGGCGTCCGTTGTCGTTATGTCGCCGCGTTGCTGGGTCGATTGTCTGCCGCTACTGCTGCTGCACGTCGTGGACAACACACGCTGCGGCGAAGAGCTGCAATCATTCCCGGTGGAGCTGGTGATGCGCGCCGGCGATGTGATCAATGCCTCAAGGTGCGGCAAATGACCGGCTATGCTTGTATGCGTATCGCTCGAGGTCGACGTGACAATTTGCTCCTGTTCTTCTTCTGCACTTAGGTTGCTGGACTGCACGTGAGCCAGGGCGGCGCTTTGGTTGTGGTTAACTCGACTGGCGGCGTACGAAATGTTCTGTGGTGGATTTTGTGATTCTTCGGGCGCCTGATTGTTTGTATCATTCATTGCTTTGCTGCTGCTTCGTAGATGGGATGTGATGGGTTGCGAAATCCGATAGAGTTACACCTGGATGTCTTTTAGGATCAATTATCGGCTGCAAAAGGCCATGGCTTAGAAAACATCTTCTGGAAAGGAAAGAAGAAAAAGTTTATAAATTATATATGTATGTAAGTAAGTATGTATATGCAAAAAAAGTGAAAAATATTGCATAAAAACTTAAAATTTTCGTTATCATTTTCCTTCGGCAGATCTTTGTTACATCGCGCATCACGTATTCAACCAAAAGTACAACTCCAAATAGCAAAGCTATAACCACACTGGCACGTATATATCAAAATTTCGCATTCCTATCACGTTCACCGATGATAGCAAAAGTCAAAATAAAATTTACATTAAGATCGCGCCGCGAAGGCTGCCAACCTCCCAGCCAGCCAGCCAACTAGGCAGCCGCGCGCATCATAGACGCATTTGTCATCAAATCGGGGAATCCACACGTCTGCGCTGCGTCTACTACTGCCGTTTATCACAACCCACGAGCTCACTGTTAGGTGGGTAGTCGAACTGGCGGACGAACGGACGGACCAGCAGACAGCTGCTGGCCCCACGACGAGGTCCAGCCGGCGAACAGAGCGAGCAAAACAAAAGCCACGAAACAACGAAAAGCACACAAAGAGTTGGTGGGTTCTTTGTTGTTTCAGCTGCTGTTTGACGCTGCCTTGTCTAAGCATTTAAAGCAACGTAAACCGCATCAGCTGTTCGTACGCTAAGCGTTCATAGCTGCTGCTGCTGTTGTCGATGGCTGGCTCGATGCTCTATGCCTCCTTTCCTTTGGAATCACCTTATCACACACGTTTTGTGCGCGCCCCATCCATGCGTTCCGTGCCGTGTTTGTTTGTGCTCTCCGCATGCAGCAGCTGACTCTCACTCTCTCGCGCGCGCGTACCATAGCCAGTCGAGCGCGCAGTCAGTTTGTGTGCTGCATCTACGGCTATTGCTGCTGCAATGCCACCACAGGCTTCCCCTTCACCTAGGCGCGCACCGAAGGTTCAACGAAACGGCGGAGAGCGAGCATATATGTATGCCAATATTCAGAAGTAAGGTGATTCTTTGATTTTTCGTGAATCAGTAAAGTGTTCGTCGTGTGCACGGGCGCGCGCGATTGCCGTTACTGCTGGCCAGCTACCGACAAGACAGCTTCGCAATGCCGACAACAGTATGGCAGGCAGTCAGCAAACAAGCAACCAGCCAGCCAGCCAGGCAGCCAACTAACTAGCTAGGCGACCAAGCAACCAAACGGCCCACAACGACTGTCGGTGGAAACGTTGTCACATTTGCAAACGGCACTCCAAGCGAAGCACAACCAAACCATCAACCAACGAGCGAATACGAACAGCTGCTAACGCGCAAGCGAATAAGAACACCGACCGACGCGTGGTACAACCAACCGTTCAACGGTAAAAGAGAAAATAAAAGCGAACTGTAATTTCATTGGTGGTCGGGGGCGAGCGGAAAGAAAAAACAGTTGTGGTGGATAACTGTAGTCTTTCTAAATAGCTTACATATTAAAAAATAAAACTAATAATAATCACAGCGAAAAACGTGAGGTCCTTTGGCAACGCAGATGCAGCGCCCCTAGTTAACATTAAACAAAAAAATGCTTTAATAAACAATTGGGTATTATTGCTTAAAGTCTCCTGAAGAGAAACAGAGTTTGCCGATTGTAAAATATAGATCTTCAAGTATTCTACACCATTTCTGCGAAAACTTGTTTGTTTTTTCATATAAAATACATGGGAAACTTTGAAGGCTTTGAGTATCCACTAAAAATTAAAAAAAAAAACAAGGGTGTCTACTTTTTTCGATATTGAACGATCCTAGGGG